AACTGAACCCCCTCAGCGAGGGGCGGCCTCCCCAGTGCCGAGCCCAGGGCTCAGATCCCTTCCCTGTCCCTGCTGGCCACGCCAGGGCTGACACCAGCCAGGAAAAATTCAGTGGTGTTGGCAGCGCAGCACAGGGTCTGTCTGGGGTGACCTCGTGCTCTTCCCTCTTTGGGAGGATCAAAACTGGCACTGAAACTGAGTGTGCCCTTGAGCTACGTGTGCCGCTTTAGGAGGTGTCCTGAGGGGCAGGTTCTGGGCTTGGCTCTCCGAAGGTAGCTGTCGTGAGTCCATCCCAGCTGAGCGCTTTGGCAGAGGAGAGCTCTCTCTGGCATCTAACGGGTGTCCCAGTGGTGCACGGCTGCCCGCGCTCCTCTCCTGTGGCTCTGACCAGAGACAACCCAGACCCTGAGGAGGGGGCAGAGCAGCCCCCATGGGGTGCCGGGGGGGCTGCCGGAGCCTCGTCTGCACAGAAGTTGTTGGGGATCGTCTGTGAAACCGCAGCATGGGAGGGTTAACCCTGGCTGAGAGTTAACCCAGGCTGTTCACCCTGGGAGGGCGGGGACGAGTGATGGCGTGGTGCTGAGCTGGGTCCCCGTGACAGAACTCAGCGCCCCGATGGGAAGGGTAAGCGTTGGGTCAGACGTGAGGAAAGCCCAGGTAGGCCGAGCTCAGAGGAGAGGGCAGGGGCAGGGGGAAGCGTTGAGGAAGCCCAGAGAAGCCCCGGCCTTTGTGACACGCGTGCCTGTGCCCTGGTGGGGCGGGGTGTGCTCCTCCAGCGAGGAGCTGACCCAAAAGAGTTGGCTCAGTGTGTAAGGGGGGGGTGGCAGCAAACCCCAAAGGCTTTTCTGTGCTAAGAGATGTTTGCCAGGTGCCTGAACAAAGCAGCAGGCATGCCCATCCTCTCCCGTCCCTCCAGGCTGTCGGCTGGGTTGGTGCTGGGTTTTTGATGTTTTGTGGAGCGCTAAATCCTTACAGAGGAACGAAGACACAGGGACATAAGCAAAGATGCCAGGTGGCTTCAGAAACAGTAAGAATTGCCAACCTCATGTCCGCAACCCACCAAAGCCAGCTCCTCTGCAGGGGGATTCGTCGCTGGTGGCAGGCCGTGGCGTGAGTCTGTTGGAAGGCAGAGGGGGCCACCTCCAGTGCTGTTAAGCCTGGAGAATCCCCCGTGCAGGGAGGTGTGCCGGGGGGCTGCCGCCTGCCCAGAGCACTTGGCGCATCCCTCGAGTCTCCGTGTGAACGCGCCAACCCCTGAACTCCCCTGCCTGAGCGACCACCTCCCCTGGCTGCTTCTGCTGGGGAAGCCGGCGATGCTGCTCGAGGAGTGCAGGGAGCAGCAGCCTCTCAAAGTACCGGTACTAATTGTACTGGATTTCCTGTATAAATGCCCTCTGGGAATCGTTTAAGGCAGCAAACAGGTCATGAAAGTCTCATTAATACCGATTTTTTTTTTTTTTTTTTTTTTTTTTTTTTTTATTTATGGTCTTTTCAACAGAACACCTCCAGAGGATTAAAGACAGCAAATGCAGTGGAATATATCACAGAAAACAAGTAAGAGGGGATAGATCTGGTTTTTACACTGTCAATCATAAATGAAATATTGTGGGTGTTTTCCCCCTTGGAAAAAATAGCTGGGATCATGCTGATGACAAAAAGCGTAAACCCAGGCATGCATATGCATGCGAACTGTTTCTCTCATCTATTTCCTTTTTTTCCCCCTTTTCAGATTCAGTATTATGGTGTAAGGCCCTTCTTTACTCTTTATATAGACTCCTCTAAAATAATGTGTATGGCTGTTTCTGAGGCTTAGTGTTTGCCATTGCCATGGGATATAATAACAAATATAATAAATAAAAATAAAGCACTGTAAATTTATTTGTCCCGGACTAAACTGGAAATTTTCTAAAGCCACGGTGGTTTAAATCTACTTTTAATTTATTGCCATTCTGTCATTAAATAAAGAGAAAGGAGGCAGCTCATTTCTTATTTTACTGTGGAAGAAAGGTTTGAGCTTGCCAAGTTTGAGAGGTACTGTCATTATTAAAGGAGTTAAGTAGTAGGATACCATTTATATACCGAGAAAATACGGACATCGTTCCAAGAATTGGAAACAGATTTTCCTACTATTGTCCTTTATATGCGAGAACATCTTCAGCCCCTAATCCCGCGAGCAGCTTGTTGGAAGAGGATATTATGGACTGTGCTTATAAAACAAGCGTGCGTTGGTCTGTGGGCCAGGTAAAATCTCGCACCCTTCCAAGGGCCTGTACGGGCAGACGGCGTGCTTAAACCCGTCTCTGGGAAACCCTGACGTCAAGTTGATGGCGCTTTGCATCTCCTGCTTTACGGGGGAGCTGATGGCCCCGATAAGCTTTGCTGGTGAATAAGATTAGTTCTGCTGAAAGCTTGTTCTAATTTTTGCTTTTTGTTACACTTTCAGAGAGAATTTAGAAGCACAGTCAAGTAAGTACCGGTATCGCCACGTTCAGTGGTTCACCGTTACGTGCTGTTCCGATCCGGTTTTAGCTCATGGTCCAGTCAGTGTGCCCTCACTGGAGTTCATGGAGGTCCATGGATTTCTGGTAGTGGTTTTCTCCAGGTGTCTTCTGTTCATGCCTGTTCCTATGAACATAAGATAGTTTGCAAGCTGGGGGGTCGCTTTGCCCGTGGACTGCGGGCAGCGGATGGGAGGTGAGACAAGAGATGACGCAGTGGGTTGATGGCCCAACGGAGAAGACCCGGCTGGGAGCAAAGTCTGTCTTGGATTTACACGCTGACCTCGTTCACTGCTGAACTACTTACGAGCATAATGGCTTGAGAATTGTGCTCCTTGTTGCTAGCAGCTTCAGTGCAGTTCCCTCTCTGCAGTTTGCAGATGAGATTTTGAAATCTGCTGGTGCTTGACGGCGGACGGCAACTCAGTGAAATCCAACGTCCCCCGAGGTTTTACCCGTGGGGCTTTGGAGGGCTGTGAAACACTTGAGGTGAAAACTGCCCGGCTGCAGAGGGCCTGCAGAAGCTCTGGGCACTGCTGGGGCTTCGGGGTGATCTGCTGCTCCTTGCCGCAGGGGAGCACGCTGCACCCCCCGTGAATCAGGGCAACTGTTTGAATTCCCTTCTGTGCCCTTCGCGTGAGCATTTGCATCCCTTGCAGAGGTGCAGACTATGTTATTTAACACGTATTCACCCGTTATTCCACCGAGTGGTCTCTAGCATGGGCTGAAATCCTGAAAAACCCTCCCTGTAATCAGGCGTTTCTTCCAGTGGGCTGATTCTGCTGCGAAGAGAAATCTGCAGTTCCCTCCTCAGGATGCTCTCCCTGTGTCCGACACGGCTTGCTTACCGAAGGAGAGATCCCAAAGCGTGGCTCCAGAAGAGGGCTCTCGAGGTTACAAGACTTGCGGGTTTCCGAGCGCTGCTCAGCGATGTGTCTGAGGGATTCACCTGTTCCCTGACACTGCTCCCGCAGCAGCCCCCTGACAGGGAGAGCGGAGAAAGCTGGGGAAACCCTTTCTCTGTCTTTTTTTTTTTTTTTTTTTTTTTTTTTTTTTTTTTTTTCCAGCAGAGGCTTCTGTGTCTCCTCTGTCTTTTGGACATAATCTTCTCTAGCAAAGCTGCCTTTGCTTTCCTGCACGGTAGAAACTGGCTCCCCTTTTTGTTACGCTGCCAGAGTCCCCCTGATTTTTAAGGACCTTTCAGATGCTGTGTTGGTGCTTGGCCCAGAGCAGTCCTGTGGCCAGGCTACGCTGAGGGGACGTGTCCTGCTCTCACGAAACCTGCGCAGAAAATGGAGGCGGGGGGGTGGGTGTTCACAGGGACGTCCATGAATCTCACTGCCCTGGAAATCCTTAAACTGGGGCTGGTTCTCTGGGGCAGGGCGGCTGGCCCCAGCTCAGCACCTGCCTTTGAACTGGGTGGCAGCACTTGGTCATTGTTGAGGTCTGTGAAGTTTTGGAGGAAGGCCAGTGTCTCCAAACCCAATATCTGGTTTGGGGTGTTTTGAAGGAAAGGGGCTGTTTTCTGCACGTTTGATGTAACTGACGTTTCTGTTGGGGAAGAGCAGTAAGAGGTGTAGCTCTTCTCGGCTTACAATCATTTTTTTCCCAGAGGTTCAGGGTTAAAAAAAACATAACTGAAGAGAGGTAAAGCGTGGAGATGCGAAACTTAGCCGTTGCTCAGAGTGGTGGCAGCACAAATCTTGAGAACTTCTGCAGGCAAAAACTGCAGAGCTGAATGAAGTAAATTGTTTTCTCTGATGTAGTCAGGCTGAGGGGAAGCCTGTCACCCTGGTCTGATAAATACAAAAGCAGAACTTCTTTCCCCATCTCCCTACGACCTTTTTCTCCTCCTTGGCTTATAAGGTGTGAACACCTTTCTCCTTCCTTTAAACCTCCGCTCTGGCAGTTATTCCAAATAATACAAATTAATGTTGTTTTGATACAGAAGGTGATGCCTTTGATGAATTATTTAGCCGTGCTCCAGATAAGCTGGATGCTGTGAAAAAGGTAATTTACTTTTTTAACAGACATCAACATTTGTAAGGTAAGGCATAATCCCTGACTTCACTGAAAAAAGTTCTGTTGTCTTCCACCCTCTCCTCCCCTTCTGTTTTCCTCAGGTGTTTTTGCAATTCGTCAACCAGCACGTTGGAAAATTAGGATTAAATGTGAAAGACGTCGAATCTGAGGTAGCCTGCTCTAAGCTGCACGTTAACCGTGTTTTGTCAGCCGTTCCAGTGGTTCCTCTCTCCGTTAGGATTCCTCCTTTTTGTTGTAGCAATTTGAAACTTGGCAACGTAACAATTATTTCTAGCTTCAGGTTAAGATATCAGGCTTCAGTCTCTGAAGTTTCTGCTGGTAATAAGTAATGAAAAAATAGTGCTTTGTATTGAATGCTGCCCTTGTAATGCTACAGGGAGTAATCTTCAGAGCCTACCCCACTGCTGTGGATACTCTTTCTGTCAGGATGGAAATCGGGGTGTTCTGGCACTCAACGCCAAGCTGGTTGCTGGTGCTTAGTGGGTTTTAATGCTGGGTTTGTTTCAGGGTAGGAAGGCCTGATTTTCATTACATTTCAAAGTCCCATCCTCAGAACGTTGAGCTTCTTGGAAGTCCCTGAGATGCCAAGAGGAGTGCTCGTGGGGCACGGCGGGATGCCCGTCCCTGGCTGTCCTCCCCCCTGCCCCTCCGGGGAGAGATGGCAAAGGAGCTCGGGGACGTCCCTGGTGGCTTTGTCATCCCTACTCCTGCAGGCACGCAGGCAGAGATCAGCCCCAGCTCTTGCTTGGCTCCAGGCGCCAGAACCTCGGTGCAGCCGCAGCGCCCGTTCGTGCCGCGCGGGTGAAAAGCGGAGCCGTGCCCCCGTGCTCTTCTGGGTTTGCCCGGTGGGCAGCTCTCGGGAGGTTTTGCAAGTGTTTTGTCATCAGTCTCAGGCACTAGACACAATTTTATTTATTTCTAGTTGCGTGTTTGTTGCTTGTGCTTGCCTGAAGTCTCCTTGTATCTGGAATAGTTTGGTTTAATGGCTGTCCCTTCGCAAGGTCTCTGCTTCCACTGGTAGGAACTTGGCAGCGTGATGTAACGAAATACAAAGTTCCCCGTAGAAGAGGTTGAGGGAGCGGAGTCCTTAGGCTGCCTGCCTGCCAGAGCAGCATTGAAATCCCTTTATCACTAGACTGGCATTTATTGGAGTAGTTTACTAAAAGCCAACAGAATAAATAATCAGAGATCATTCTTCATCCAGTTTGCAGATGGCGTTATCTTACTTCTGTTAATTGGACAACTGGAGGGTTACTTCCTGAATTTAAGGCATTTCTTCCTGACTCCAGCCAGCACCACGGAGATGGTAGGTTGTTGTTGAGTTACGTAGAGCTCGAGGCTTCAGGCATCTCGTGTGTTTAGTGCTCCGGTGTGTCGGTGAAGAGCTCTGCTCCTCGTGTATGGAGTCATGTTTTTGCACGGGGTTTGCAGGACAGGGGTTTGGGAGAGCAGGAGTGCAGGCACTCAGTGCTGCTGAAATAACCTGGAGCAGGTTGGTGTCTTCTTCAAAATCCATTATTACCTGGTGGGAGGCAAGCTGTTGGTAACCTGCATTTATTTGGCAGTGCTTCCGAAGCCTTCCAGGGACACCAGAGGCTCTGTGGCGGGGGATTGGTATGCTGTCTCCTCCAAGTCTGTCCTGCAAACAACATTTTTAAGCGGATAACGCCTCCTGCAGAACAGAACTGGTTCCTTATATGTTTCCTTATGCTGTCCTAAAAATATACCTTAATCAAGGCATGACCGGAACATTTTTGAAGGCCCCTCTGTGCTTAGGAAGCTCATGAGAATTTACATCTTTTCCTCCCCCGAGGCTGTAACCTACCCAGCCAGACTCGCCTGACACCTCTTTTAACCTCCACCAGGCAGATTTCATCAGCGCTTTAAAAGAAAAAGGTGGCACCAGCCAGAAGGCAGTGCATGATGGGCTGCCAGTGTAAACGCCTCCTCCACAGGTGTAGGATGTTGATATATTTTGAGATATTTCGGATATTTTCAAATTCTCTCTGGTGGGTAGGGATTTTTCACTTGGGTCACTGAATCGCTCTGAAAATCTTGAAACCGTAGCTGTTTTTCCTGGGTTGTATTCAGTTAGATTTCTGAAGGTGGAACGTGTCAGATCCTTTTTGCTTGAGAGCTGCCTGAGAAGGGACTCTCTCCTCGGGCGTGGTTTGTGTGGCAGCTCCCCCAGAGACGAGGCTCTTGGCTGATTCCTGACCTCGACACAGTTTGTCTCCCTGGGCAATGTTTATTTGTAATGGAAATTCTCAGAGGTCCCGCATTCATTAATAACACTCCTGGGGAGGTTTCCATCAAAACATTTAAAAGCACAGTTGTCTGAGACCTAGGTTCGAATTTTGTTACAAATTCACTGCAGTCAGTTGATGTCTGTTTGAGGGATTAGGAAAATTCAATTTTTTTTTTTTAATCTAAGATGATTCAGAACAGAAAATATATTTTGAAGGGCTTAATCAAACAAAATCAATGCATTGCCTTGCAGTTGATTTTCTTCCCTTTCTCCCCCTCCACTCAGTTTTCAAAATTGTTTGCTCCGGTTCATTGACTTGGAAATGAATTTTTAACGTTTCCATTAACTTTTTTTCAGAGGAAGTCAATGAATTTTCTTTTCTTTGCTGGAAATTACATGGATAACATTTTTCTTTTTGGATCAGCCCTGTTGAAGCCTCATAAATCTTTTTCAAGAATTGAGATACCCCTACACTTCAGGTGCAGGTCAGAGCTCGGGTCTGGTCACTGCCCTCGGAGAAGAAGGTGACGTGGTTGGGTACTGGTTCATTAAAATCTCTACGTCCTAGTAATTTCATTTTAGCAAAGTTACTTCCAAGTACTGGGCTTATTGTAGAACAGTTTGCCAGAGTGGTATTCACCGTTTGTTTCTCCTCTGGCGTTCATTACACGATGAAAAGCAGGATGACAATACAACTAAAAATACCGAGCGACCATAGTTCAACTGTCATTTGCACATAAAATACGTCTTTCAGTTCCCCTGTGCTTTCTAACTCCCTGTCATTTTAGACGTTAATTGGTACAGTAAAGTATGAAAATGTAACCTTTGCTGAGATTTAAAACACGTCATTTGTGTTATAAAAATGGTGACAACCGCCGGCACTGTTGTGATGGGAGCGGCGCATCAGCTTTCATTCAAGCTGAAAGCTGGTGGCTCAGAGCTGGGACGTGCTCCTCGGGGACCCGGGGGAGCCGTGGTGCGAGGGGGGACACGGGAACAAGAAATAGGGAGGACAGGAGCCCCTGCCAGAGGGCCACGAGGCGCGAGGAAAGCAGGAGCAGAAATTTGGGAGGCGACCCAGCTCCAGGTGCAAGAAGACAAGACTGCGCGTGGGCAGGTTTGTTGCAGGTTTATTGCCAGAAAATGAGGTTTGCCAGTCACTGTAAAGAAAGTCCAGCTCTGGGCGCTCGTGTGTGTGTTCTGAGATGAAGCTTACAGTCTCCAAATAGGTCAGGCTGAAATCAGAGGTGAGCCTTGAGCAGTCAGGAGATGAAGATGATGATGAAGGGGGGGCCCTGTGCTTATCAAAACTGTGTGAACTCAGTGCTTCTGCCAAAACAGCCCCGAGCTGAAATACCCCAAATGTCCCGACCTCTGTCCGCTCGTAAATCCTGGAGAACGGTCCAGCTCTCCTGAGTCTGGAAGCGCAGCTGGATGGAACAACTTCTCTGTATTGCCCTTCTCCGGTAATTATCAGTAGTTCTGTCTAAGATTTATTTTGAAATCTGCACGTTACTGTTCCTTGCACATCTCATCTGCATTACAGAGAGGGAAATGTGTCCCTCTTACCTGTGCCGGTTCATTATGGAAACGTTTGATTTATGCATTCTTGATCAGAAAATTGTGTAGCTCTGTATGAGCTTAAGCTCCCCTGTCTGCTGGCTCTAAGAGGAAGAAAAGAAGCCTGAATCCAAACTGTCAGTCTCAGTTACTTGTAAATCAGAGAATCAGGTAAAACACGAATCTATGGCTTCACTTCAGAGCGCACAGTTTCTGCTTGGCTTATGCGTGGGGGACCCGCGTGCTTATTTTCAGGAGAGAGCAGGGAACAGCCTGGCGGCCGTCACTGATGTGCCTCCCAAAGGAGAAATTCCTCGGTAGCCTCAGGAATGTGTGAAGAGACAACCTGAAGTTCGTTCGGGTCTCATTACTTCATTAGAGGAAGGGGGCTGGCTAATTACCAGCCAAGTAAACAACTGCCCTTAAGCTTCAAGAATCTGGTAATGGGACATTATATTACTTTTTTAAAAAATCATTTGTGACTACTGCGTGTGTGTGTGTGATATCTTGCTTTTATGTGGGAAATGAGAGAAAAACAAGTAAGGGAAAAATCAGAAAAAAAAACCAAACCCAACCCTCAGCCTTCATTCACAGACATGGGCTTAACTCCTCGTGAGTAATGTGGATATCATCACTACTGTTACTGTGTGTAGACATCTTTAGATGGTAAAGCAGAAACTTCCAGCTCACAAATACAGCTGATCAGAAGATTTCCGATCTTCGTAACTCTGAGTTAAGTGTCGGGGACATTTTCCTCATCTATTTTGTTTGTTTGTTCCAAATGTAAACATGTGGGCATTGTTAAAAATAAATATATATATATATATCTATATCTATATCTGTGCATGTGTTAGGTGCAGTTAGGAATCTAGGCCGTCTTCCCTGTGGAAATATCCATTAACACAAGACTTTCACATGCAAGGTCTATTTTTAAATAAATGGATTCTTCTGCCCACCTCCTGGGATACGTTTTGCTGGAGATGGATTTTACATCTGATTTTATATGATAATTGGTAGAAATTCTGAAGAGCACTCCATCAAAACTAAGGAGATGAGTACGAGTACATATTTATGAATCAGTATCTTCAGCTACTAGAGAAACACTGTTCTAAACCTCCTGGCCACTGCACCGTCAGGTGAAAAATATTTCCCGTTCTGTCTATCTCTCTCCAGCTTCACAACGTTAACCTTGCGTTGGACTTGATGACGGATGGGGGTCTTCTGAACTTTTCTGTGAACTCTGAAGGTGAGTCGTGACACACAGACTTGTCCGGGGTAGAGCTGCTGCTATCGTGGCTTAGTGCAAGTTAGGGTGGTTGCAGTAGGTTCTGCAGAGGGACTCTGACACGTTTCGTTTAACGGCTGCCCCATAGCTCCTCGTTCAGAACGAATAACAGTAAAGCTGAAAGTTGGTTTGAACAATCTTTATTTCTATACTAAAGATGTTTGGATTTCCGTACTAAAAATGTTGGGTTGTTGTAAGTTCAGTAACTTTACGCTAAACTTCAACTGTTTAATAAGTCAGCATTTGTTAAAGATTTAAACCAGTGGCAGCTCCTAGGGAAATCACAGCAGCTGAGCTGGAGGGGAAGCTCTTTTCCAGTCTCATAAAAAGTTTTAGTGCATATTCATGCGGGAATACACCTTGCAGAATATGTCATGAGAATGAGAAACACCGAGTGCTCTGTTCAACCCCAGAGGAGCTGGGGGGTCAGTCTCCTGCGTGCCAAATACAGAGGTTTGAGGTTGCTGTTCTGCCTAGTTCAGACCTGGGAGATGAATGTTGGTCTCCTACATCCGAGTGCATGCTTTCATCTCGGAGTTAATGTACATTCGTGTTCCTCTCTCTTGCCTGACCACCAAAAAAAAAAAAAGTTTCCTTTGGATGAATCACATTTTGTCAATTAAAAAAGTGCTTCTCAGAAAAATTTCTGACCAGCTCCGGGTGGGGTGAAGGATGTGGCTGCATTAATGGACGGCGCTGGGACTGCTCAGCCCGACCCCTTGCAACGTGCTGGGCACGTAACCTTGTTGTGGAATAAGGAAATCAAATCTTTATTAAAAATAGAAAGCATTATCTCTTCCCCTGTTAGTTATCCCTGAGCAGGTGGGTGCGTGTGTTTGGTACGCAGCACCATGGAGGGGGAACGGTACAATTTAGGACTTGTTTTTTTTCTTTTGATTTCTTTTTCCACTAATGCTTTGGCGATGTTGGCAGCACGCATGATGGGCGGGCACAGTGCAGGCTCTTGGCCATCCTGCCTGGAGCTGGGAGTTTGGGAAGCTATTGATGTTAACTTTGAGGAGAGTAATCTGCTCAGCTCTCCGCACTGGGATCCCCTTTGTAAGCAAGCTCGCTGTCCTTCCCGCTGGCTGTTCTGCGCTGCCTCAAGTGCCGAGTTGATCACTAAGAAATACCGGTGCCACCATCTGCAGGTCCTTCGCCTTCGCTGGGAAAATCCTCAGCTAGTGATTGAAGTTAATATGATTTAGGGATACTTATTACAGCCGCACTACTTAGACTGCTCAAGGATCTCATTTACTGGTATTTCACTGTCGGTCTTTCTCCTGGTGATTTGCAGCACTGTAAGAGGAACAGTAAACCCTCGAAATCAGTTAGCCTCTTCCATTCCAATTATTAAATACAAGAGCAGTTTGTTTAGCCAAGAACCTGAAAACTAAATGAAAACAAGAAAACAGCCAAGAGCAGACAACTGCTGGAAACGTTACAACCCAAAAAATAAAAGTGTCAGGTAACTCCCAATGCGATTCCTGCCGTAGAGGAATCATAAAAGAATAAAGCTGTAAAGTCCTATTAAATTATCTCCTCTGTTCTCTGCTAGTGAAGAATTATTTCTCACTATGCATTATTTATCCTGTCTTCCAGCAAGATAGTGCAGTGAAGGTCCCTTTTCCTTAATTTAATAAATAAATGATTTGCTAGCTCTGTAATTCCCGTGTTGCGTCTCGGTTACAGTTAGGTTGTCTAAGTTCACATTATAACTGGAAAAGGTGGAAGATTCTCTTTGGCAGTTGCAGTCTCCTTCTGTTCCAGGGTTTGCTAATACTTCCCGTCTGGTTTTGCTGTTTCTTGTGTATCCACAGACATTGTGAACGGAGATTTGAAGGCTACGATGCGGATTCTGTATAGTTTGTATTCCAAATACAAGACCAAAGAAACATGAAGAGCAAGGCCAAGAGCTTGGGCTGCTTTTTTTTTTTTTTTTTCCCCTTTTTTTTTTTTTCCCCCCCCATGTGTGTTGTGGTCTGATTTCTGGATGCCCAGCACTGCCCCTGTTTGTGTGCGTGCCCGTGTGTGGGACACTTGCTGTACTGGCACGGTACCGGCACGTGTGTGTCCCTGCCAGGTGTCACATACACTAAGTGGCTGTAAGCACCTGTGAGCCCAGGGCCCTGTGCTGGGTGATGCTGTGGATCTTGCTCCAGCCCGTGTCTTGTTCTCTCGGAGCCCCCCTAATGCTGCAGAGACATGCAACGTGTGTTTATTATGGACTGTGGATTCTTTGCCTCTGGAGATGAATTTTCAGGATTCCAGAACCATCCCTTGCAGCTCCTCCAGCCCAACCATGACCCTCCCCCTGACCATTCCCAACTCCCCCAGATCCCTCAGCGCTGGCTCAGCCCGACTCTTCAACCCCCCCAGGGATCCCGGGGACTCCCCCCTGCCCTGGGCAGCCCATTCCAACGCCCAACAGCCCCTTCTGCACAGAAATCCTTCCTCAGAGCCAGCCTGACCCTGCCCTGGGCAGCTTGAGGCCATTCCCTCGGGGCCTGGCGCTGGGGCCTTGGCTCCAGAGACTCATCCCCCCTCTCTGCCCCCTCCTGGCAGGGAGTTGCCGAGGGCCAGGAGGTCTCCCCTCAGCCTCCTCTTCTCCAGACT